ATATATAATTTTTGATATATTGACTTTAGTGATATATTGTATATATATGAATTTTGATATAAGAAAAAAGACTGATTTCAGTGATATGTGGAAAGATACTAACTTTGGTGATATAAATTTTGATATTTTGACTTTAGTGATATATTGTATATATATGAATTTTGATATATGGAAAAAGACTGACTTCAGTGATGTTATACATACATATTAGAGAGTTATAAATTTGTATTGTTATATATATATTTGTTATACATATTAGAGAGTTTTAAATTTATATTGTTATATATATAAATTTGTTATATATATCACTTGCCAATAAATATTTCTAGAAAATAAGAAATCAAAGTTATGCTTTGGAGACTTGAATTTCAAGTGTAGTTATTTAATTAATTTTAAGCACATGACTCGATCCATTTTATAGATATATGGTTTTTATTTTTTATAGATATATCTAGTGGTGTAAAAGCTAGATGACTGCCCCGAGAGACAACATGGATGAAGACTCTAGGAGAAGCAGAGAAGACATTCATACTATGGCGCAAGTGCTACATCATTATTCCCGGGGTCTCTAGTCCACCGCCGCTTCCTCAACTGCAGACAATAGGTGCGGACAAAAGTGAACGAAACAATTTTTTCACTAATTTTCTATTGACATGCATGATTAATAATAACAATTTCTTATACCTAATTATTCTTTTTTTACTCACATAGCAAGGCCTCTGTCAACCTAAGTCCAATTATTCAATCTCTAGATCATCATAGTGCTCCGGGCAATGATTATGCAACGCCGCCACCGCCGCCACCTCCAAGGAGGTCTCCAACGGCTGCCCCGCCTCCCTTGATGATCAAGAAGCAGCCAGCTCCTAAGAGGTCCGCCCCGCAAACGAAGCCGTTGGCCCACCAGCCGACAAAGAAGAAAGCCTCCTCTAATCTAGTTATTCTCCAAAAACTGTCTTACGAGAAAAGTGTAAAGGAATTAAATGTTGCAGTACAAAAAGATGTGAACAGTTTCTTCGAAAAAGTAAGAAAGCAACGAGAAGCGAGGGAGAACCCGGAGAAACCGTACTTCTACCTACCTCTGGATCTTCTAAGAAAGAAGGTGGACCAGAAAAAGCGGGAATCTCAAAAGACCCTGCCAAAATTGGATTACGACCGCTCTCTCACCAAGTCATTTGAGGCGACGTAGAAAAATACTAGAGCAGGGAAAGGTGTTGCACAACTCGAACAACAATCGCAACAATCAGTCCCCCCTCTTGTCATTCGTAATAAATATGGTTCAAACTTAGACTTACTAGACGTCGATTTTGAGGACCTGGTTCGGTTTTACGAGGATACTGGTTTAGACCTTGCCCAAGTGCTCGTTTAATGACCATCTGCTCCGAAAGTGGATCCTTGGAAGAAATTTGAACATGGAAAGAGTCTATACAACCCTGAGGCCTTAGGTGAACTGGGTACGTAAATATACCTACTAAATAAGTGGTACATGGCGGCGTGTGAACGGGGAGAGAACTTTGTTTCTGTCTGAGTTAGAAACCAACATTACTTTCGTGGCGATGACGTTATATATGTCGAGTTTTTAGAATTACACCAACTATGCCACCTGGACTCTCTCGATAAAAGTCTCATTAGCTGCTATTGTTTGTAAGTGTGATTATTTTCTACTATTAAAGTGTATATATAAAGCTACATGTATATATAAATCATATATCCTCACACTATATTTTTATATATGCAGATATGAGATGACAGAACTCAGAAAGAGAAAGGATAATGATGTTGGTTTCGTTGATCCAAATGTCTTATTCAAACACCCTAATCCCCCGCCTGAATGGAAAGCTGAACTCGAGAAAAATCTCATGAGGTTCTTAGTGAACCAACAAAACAAGGACATACTCTTCCCCTACAACTTCAAGTGAGTGTTAAATAATTAATGTCGATCATATTTGTGTATAAAAACGTATGCAGCAATCACTGGATATTTATGGTCATCGATATGGCCAATAGTCGGTTGAGCATCTTAGACTCATTAAGAAAACAACAAACAGAGTATCAAGACATGATAGATATTATCCAAGGGTAATTTGGTCTCTCTAGCAACTATATATACCCCGATCTCTTAACTGCAACAATTATTAAAGACCAAATTAATTTTTTATTTTATTAGGCACAGTGTTTGAAAAAGTTTCATTGATGAACACCACATGAAACATTGCAAAGCGCCACCGGATGTAATCGCACACAAAGTAAGTGGGTTCTGAGGCAAGAACACCATGCATGCTTTTAATTCACCAGATCTTTTTTCTCGTAAAAGTGGATTCTGAGGCAAGAACAGGGGACCAACTACTGCGGATACTATGTTTGCGAGTTCATCATAGCGTACGCAAAAAGAACTCCTGAAGAGATCCTCACAGTATGTTATATAAATATATTCATATATTCACAATTTCTTTTATTGCTCATATATATAAGTAATCACGTGACCAACACACACATATATATATATATATATATATATATTAATACTTTTCCTTTAACTTTTATTGAAGACTCTATGGTTGAAGGAAAAAGTCATACGACGTGACCAACTGAAAGCAATTTAAGAAACCATAGCAGGATTTCTTAATGACTAGGTCTTAAACCCCGCCGGCGAGTTCTACAATGACATGAATGAGACATGGAAGCCAAACCAGATGGAGTGAATTTGTTATCACAAGGATATGATAGAATATACAATGCAAGCTTTATTTGTAATATATATATATACATATTATATGTACATAAAATAAAGTACAATATATGTATATGCATGTAATATATACGTTAGTTTCATACTTTAGTTTGTACAAAATGTTCGAACATTATAAGCGTGTAGAATATGTATATTATTAGCAGCATAGAATGCGTATTCGAAAACCTATTCAAAAACCAAAACGAATCATCAATTGAAAATAGAAAAAAAAGAAAGAAAAAAAGAAAACCTTTAGTCTCGGTTGGTAATACCAACCGGGACTAAAGGGCCGGCCCACGTGGCCAGGCCGGGAGGCCTCTTTAGCCCCAGTTGGTATTACCAACCGGGACTAAAGGTGGTCCCGGGCGAGAAACCGGGACTAAAGGAGGGACCCTTTAGTCCCGGATTCGTGCTCCCGGTTGGGAAATCGGGACTGAAGGGGTTTCCCAACCGGGAGTACAGCTTGTTTCTGTACTAGTGCCTCCTCGTACTCATTCTCATCGTCGTCGTTCTCCTCCTCCTCCTCCTCCTCGGTGTCCCCACCGTCGATGAAAAATCGGCCATCGTCAAAGTCCCACGGACTCTGATCAGGCGAGCCCTCGTCCCCAAGACTCCCCTAGCCCTCATATTCTTTCTTGCTAGAGGAGTCATTGTCTGGTAGCTTGAAGCCTATCATATATGGTTCAAGTTGGAATGAGATGAAGAAATAAGAAGGGTGGTTTCAGAGGACAGATGGTGTGAATATGTAGAGCATTGGATGAGCCCTTCGCCTTCTCCCAACAGGATTAATGGTGTTGAAAGGGCGTTGGAAGCGAGGACATTGAACAGTCACGAAGACTTTTGACCACCATTCCACCTGTGGCCTTTTTGGGCCGGCAGTGATAACTAGCATCGTTGTCAGCTCGGCGTATAAATCAGCGGCAACACGGACCCTGAAGATCACCGCCAGATCCTACTCTGAGTTGACGGTGAATACACTTTTCATCGCCAGTTCAATTGGTCCCTGAAACAGTTTCACCTTCGGTTATGTCATAAATGGCGGTGAGAAGGGTGCTGCGATGGCCCTTTCAGTAGTAGTGGTTTATCTTATTTACAATATTGCATAACTTCCTAGTAATCTTTTTGTCCTCATGTTTTAGGATACTTCGACAAGTTGGGTTGATCCTGGCGGCGGCGGCAACGTCACCACTCAGCACACTGCATTTGGGCTCACGTGAATGGGTTAAGCCATCATGTGCTCAGGGATCAAAGAAGACAATAGTTGATTACAGATGTTGACCCTTTGATCTATTACACATGCTACATTGATTACCGATCGGTGATAGAAGACACCATCATCTTTCCTCAATAATTCTTTTGACACATCAGAGTAGACCATTCCCAATAATTGGATTGGGAGTGTCCTTAGTCTTTTTAGGTTGAAACTGTGGTTACTGAACTAAACGAAAGGGGAAAACACAGTAACTAAAAAAAAGAGGTTTTGCCACAAGACACTTAATGACATTTTATTTTTATCTGAAAGACATGAGAAAATTGATCTTTTCTTGTGGATACAACAAGTTTGTTAATTTTTCTACAAGACACTATTCGGTTTGGCCAGAAAAAAAAATACTTCGATGTTCTCAATTGGAGGAACGAACTACCTTTAAGAGAATCTTAGCTTTTGGAACGTCACAACATGCGATCCAGAGGTAGCACAAAACATGTCATGTAAGCGTGAATGAAAGTATCATCACAATCGAGTTTGGACCCTATAGTAATTATCCTAGACTATCATTTTTCTTGTGGAATCATTTTAATTGAAATCAATTTATTATTTCTGTAGTAGTGTGTCAAGTTGGCAATTGACCTTCACAAGTAATGTGTAATAATGATAATGTATTACCAATGTTTTTGCATATGACTCTTATGATAGAGGCTAATGAAATTTGGACTCCAGATAAATATTTGTGATAGGGAGTGCTAAGATTGAGTGATTAGGATGAGGATCATATTTGATGCTGCCATACTGATATAGTAGTATTAATTGGCAACCAATAAATGCAGCTAGAGACATGATGCATTAGCTAGCAGAGAATAAATGCAAACCAATATCAGATAACTGTGTACCGTAATGTTTTTGGTCTCAATATGGTAGAAATTGACTGATCATGATTAATTTGCTTGTGGCTCCCATCTATATAAACAAGGACCCGCACCATCAAAGAGCATCAAGAAACCATTGATCTCTCGGTAGAGAAGCATAGAAGCTAGCTTCTTGGCGCTACTCAAGATGAGCTCCAAGAGTACTCTGGTTGTTTTCGCCGTCACATGGTTGCTGATGGCACTCCTTGCTACGGCCGTGTCGTCAGCTGGCAACCAGGAAGCCGAGAACCAAGGGGTCTGCTTCTTAGTGAAAGGCACCTGTACACAAAAGCTGTGCGGTGGAGCGTGTGCTGTCAAGGGCTCCAATGGTGTTGGGTCATGCAAGGGGTCCTACTGCTGCTGCCAACCGAAATCCCCCTCACACATCGGTGTCCACTAGCTAGGAACTAGTTTGCTTTTGATCCATAGTATGATTGTTGAATTGACATTTTCCATTAATAAACAAAATGTATGGTGCGTGATTGGTCTATAAATGTGTGGCACCACTGCACCAGGTATGTTACACACTACTACAATAAATCTTTTCCAAGGCGTTTGCCAAATGACCACGGAGGCGGGTGGGCCGGTTGCCCGCCTCCGTTATTGGGTGGCCGGGCAGCTAGCCCAGCATCCGCTTGGTTAATTCTTAACCGAGGCGGGCAACCTAAAAGGCCCACCTTGGTTAATATCTATTAATCGAGGCGGGCATCCTAACACAACCGTCTTGGTAAATCAAAAGCCAATTGTAATTTTTAGCCCACTACCATCACCAATATATAAACGTAGGGGTTAGGGTTTCAGTCATTCTCCCAGCCGCTCCTATCTCTCCCAGCCGCTCCTCTCTCCCAGCGTCGCGCTCGCACGGAGCCCTCTCCCCCACCGCTCCTCTCCATGGCAACACTCTCCCCAACCGCTCCTCCCTCTCTTGAGCCACATCGGCGGCGGCGCCTCCCTCTCTCCCATCGGCGGCACCTCTCCCTCCCTCTCCCGAGCCACGGCGGCGGCGGCGGCGCCTCCATCTCTCCCCTCGGCGGTGCCCATCCCTCTCCTGAGACCCGACGGCGGTGGCGCCTCCCTCTTTCCCCTCCAGAGTGGGCTATAGAGCCTCCTGTGGTGGCGGCGCCCTCCACCACCCTCCAGGCAGTGGCGGCGGCACCCCTCTCCCTCAAATCTGGTGCCTCTCCTCCCCCACGCACCGGATCCAGTGGTGTAGTGGCCGGATCTGGCCGCTAGTGCTCCCCTAGTGGATTCGGTGGCGGTGCGACCGGATCCGGTGGCGGAGGCGCGGCACGGGGCACGGCTCTTCTCCGGCGGTGGTGGGTGCAGCAACACCGGTGACGGCGTGTGGATGGGATCGCTGGGCTTGTCCACGGGCTTTCTTATTTTTTTTTGTTTTTTTATTTAATTTACCGAGGCAGGAATTTCAAACGCCTCGGTAAAGATTTATTTACCGTGACCTTTCGGCCGAGGCGTTTGTGATCACTACTACAAAAAGCATTTCTAGGGGCGGCTGGTAACCCTTTGTAGGGGCGGTTTGCCCAGCCGCCCCTACGCAAGGGTCTCTACAAATCATGCATTTGTAGGGGCGGCTGTAGTACCAGCCGCCCCTACAAACAGGTATTTGTAGGGGCGGTTCAATCTAGAACCACCCCTACAATACGTTTTCCCACAAAAAAAATTCAAATTTACAATTCAAAATCGCGTTGCCGAACGTCCCATGACCAACGTTCCGAACCGCGTTCGCGTTGCCGAACGCCCCGCGACCAACGTTCCGAACCGCGTTTGCGTTGCCGAACGCCCCGCGACCAGCGTTCGCGTTGCCGAACGCCCCGCGACCGCGACTACAAGCACAAGAGTATTCTATAAACTACAATTACAAGTCCAATTCATAAGAATATATACAATCCATCATTAAATATACAAATTCCAAACACATTGTTATCAACGTCCTAGAGCTAGCCTTTCAGTCTCACGAAGGTGTTGGTACTGAGGATTTGTACCTAACTCAGACTCTCGGTCATGGTAGGCGCCTCTGACGTGTACAATCTGGTCCAATATGAAGTTGCAAAGGTCGCCGACGAGCTCTAAGAGTTGGTCATCTTTGTATGGGTCTCTTTTCATTCCTTTCTCTTCTCTCCACTACAAGAGAACAAGTTTCGGTTTAGTATTTCATACCATGTACGAAGTTTTTATACTATGGGTGAAGAGGTTCAAACTTACCCTTAAGGGGTGTCTCCTGTAGGCACCGGTGTTACTCATCATAGAACATATATAGTATCCACAATGTACACTCCCAGGCCTCTGCTTAGGGCACTGTGTGTTTTGCATATAAAAATGTTAAGTAATGCTTTTGACAGCCATGTAACGGAGTACTGAAGAAGTAAGTTACACTTACCGCATATAGTGTTTTTATAGCCAGCTTTTCCTTCCTTGCTGGATCATGCCTTCCATGATGATTAGTGACATAGAACCTAAATGCCATGTTCGAATTATTTTAGCAAATACAACTTGTTAGTATCCAAAAGTGAATGTTACAAGTATGTATACAAACATATAAGCTAATGAGGATTGTCGATATGTATACGTCTTGAGAATCGATATGAAGTCTTTGTATGTCACCGTGTCCTTATCTAATGAATCAAAGACCCATGCCATGCTCCTCCCGACATCGACGGCTATACAAATCCAGTGATTGCTGCATGGATTTAATCATAGAACTAGATAAGCTTTTTTGCATCGAATAAAATATATCGAACAAAGCTTTAGGTATAGAGTTGAACTTACTCGAAGTTGTATGGTAGCCATATAGTAGAGTGTTGTTAGAGATTTTTGAAAGCCATAGCAATGTATGCCGCAACCTTAAGGGACTCTTCCCTTAGTTTCGCCGTATGGATGCGCTCTTTTTCCCAAAGAGTCTTTGCAGCAGCTAGCTCTTTGGCATCCAGTGTCCACCGTTTAGGGTAATTAAAATTTGTTTGGGCTATAGCTTGAGGGTCTACATACCCGGCTTTCACACTTGACATTTGTTTGACAATGTGCACTTGCATTCTACAAATCACGGCGTGGGTTAGTTACAACAAAATTCAAAGATTACATTCATATCATATCGGGAGGACAAGGACTTACAGGCACCACGTGCGAATTAGATTCATCTCCATTTCTCCCAGGTGAAAGCATGTGTGCATGTCATTGAAGTCAAAGACAATTTTTCTGGCTGGGCTTCCAAATGTGTCGGTGGGGAAGCATGCTTGTATGATATCTATGCTCGTTGGGAGAACACGCAAGTACCAATCATGGAACCTTCTCATTCCAAGTGGTAGGCGCTGGATGTCCCGGTTTGGTAAGAAGGGCTTGCCTCTTTCATATGTTTTCAGGCAATCCTTTGACCATTTGATGGCATCAACATTTGGATACTGCTTTGCAATTTGGTGGAGTTTGCTAGTGACGGCCTCCTCAGAACCCCGTGATGGGACTATTTTAACTTGGTTCTCAGGCTTAAACTGGTCATGGGAATACCACTTGGACACCGACGAGACGTCTTTGATCGGAACATAAACTGGCCTTATGTTGATTGGAATCTTCTTTCGAAGTTCCCATTCAGGCACGTCCTCATCTTCTTGTGCATCACCTTCTTCAGGAGGCACTCGTTGTTCATGTATCGGTTGTGCTTGTTGAGAAGACTATGGCATCTCATCATGCACTTGCTTGGTACGAGCTGGAGAAGGTTGTGGCATCTCATCAGGCACGCTAGGAGGCGGGGAAGAATGTGTCATCTCAGGAATGTGGGGGTCACAAGACGGTGAAAATATCTCCCCGACCTCAACAACTCGCTCCAAATTTGGGAGAGGGGGAGGCGGCGAAGAAGCAGTCAATATAATGTCCCGTTTGTGCTAGAGGATGAACTGCTCCATAACGTCTTCGAGTAACACCAGCCCCTCGGTAGTTGCGTAGTCTATCCTCCACTGCATGAACTCGGGCTTCACTGTTTGCACCTCGACCCTAGTGTAGTCCGGCGGTATCTTATTATTGTGGTGTAAGCCACCAGGAGGATGTGCCACACCCGTTGCCACCTCCATCACAATGTTCTGCCGGCCGTTGAGAAACACCAAGGTGCAACTAGTTGGTTCCCGTTTGCGATCGACTGGGGTTGTGGCTGCTGTGGAACCTTGGCTGCTAGGAACTTTCGGAGGGCTGCCAACTAATGCCAGTTCTCCCGACGGCGTCACTAATATTTGTGGCTCCGTAGACAGTCCTTGCTCCTCCAGCGCCTTCGCAACTAGAGCCTTCACTTGGAGCTCAAGACTAGTCTCCCGGTCTCGGCCATGTTTCTTGTACATGTGCCTATCCTCTTCGAATCCTTGCTTCTAGGTCATCCTTTTCCGTAGCCCCCTGGTGCGGCCTGTGTGCTCCTTGTTTCCCAAGCCAAGGCTAAGCTCGTCCCTCTCTCTGGAAGGATTGAATGAGCCCTTCTCCTTGTCTTCAGCATATTTCAGTATCCTTGATACCGCCTCTTGGGTCTCTGGCTTATCAAACTTAAGAATACTGCCGGATGATTCTGTACTCCTCGCATATATCCAGTTTCTTGAGCGTACCTTCAAATTCGTCACATCGATATTCCCAGCAGCTGCGGCCTCTTCGTCCATCTTCCTAAACTGCTCTTCCTTGGCATAGTAGCCACCGGGGCCTAGATGATGGTGGTGTTTGTTCCTCTTTGCCAGCTCGGTGTTACGGGCACTAAGCTCCAATGCCTCCGATGAAGTCTTCTGAGCCACGAGCTCCTCCCATTGACTCGGGGTTATTTTGCCGAACTCATTGAAGGGAGTTAACCCCTTTTGGATATACTTCGTGTTGAGCTCCGACCTCCAACGTCGGAATGACTCTCCCACCATCCTGATAGCATTTTTTTTACCAATTCGTGATTACCCTCTGGAAATCTAAAATTGACCTTCAGATGCCTATCCTATAGTGCATTCTTTGTGTTCTCTGCTACCTCTTTCCAGTTAGGGATTGCTGGGTTCAATTTATCTCTTACTAGGGCCCCGATCGTATTACGGAATTTTCCTCTTAATTCCTTTGGCTCAAGGATCTCCCCTGCTGGCCCGACCTCTGTTATCACATAGCATGCCTTATCTGGATATAGATTTCCTTTTCTATCCCCTCATTTCCTCTTAGGCTTGGTAGTCGTGGTTGTGTCTTGAGTTTGTGGAGCAGAGGCATCGTGATCTGTCTCTGTGGCTGTTGCCTCTGCTCTCCTTTCCTCTACTCCGTATTGTCCAGCGAGATGTCGCGGACGTCGACGTCGTCTTTTTCGAGTTTCAGGAGGGACCTGTATATACGACAGGTCAAAGTGTTAGCAGAGGTAACACAGCCAAAGATTTAGTAAAATTTACAAGCTAAGGC